AAATTATCCATTAATAATGATTTTAATAACAATCCCATGCCATAACCCCCTTATGTTTAGCACCGAACAGATTCTCCCTTTTAAATCCCTTATTTTCTGAGAAAAAAAGTAAAATAAAATCCTTTTTAAATCCCTTTTGTTAATAGTCCCCGGGCCGTAAACGCATATGAAAATTTTATTGTATGCATAAAAAAAAAATTAAAAATGAAAAATTGGATGCGAGATTGAATGTTTTGTTGTACAATAATCTAAAAAAAGAAGGTGTTTCGATGGGATTTGGATTTTTTTCATTTATTATTTTTAGCACTTTTTTATACTTGTTTTAGAATCTCTTGTATTGTTGTTGACCGACAGATGATTTTTTAATAGTTTAATATCTTTTAATAGCAAATTGATAGAATATCTATAAATTGTAAATTTGTAAATCACAGTGACAAAATTGGCTACAATTTTTCTTTTTCTTTTTTCTGAGTAACCATTTTGAAATTTCATACAAAACCCAATGATGAAAAACATTTTTAACCTCTAATTTTATATTTGCTAGGTAAATTAAAATTAATTACTAGAAGCAAGGTGTTTAGCGAATCACCACGCCAATGAGCAATATTTTCGTGAATTTGAGAGATTAATTAAAGGTTGGAGATATCCCTGGTAGGGTGGAGACATCCCTGGGAGGGCCACGATGATCAATCCGGTAGGGTACTAGTGCAAATGTCTTATGAAGCATCTTTGTTAATTTCTATTTAATAAAGTGATTATGAAGAAAGAGATTGTGGAGAATGGGCATGACATGATGACATGAAACAAAAAGAGAAATCGACAATCTTCTTTCTCTTCCTTCAGACCTTGTTATTTCTTTCTACATGAAAATTCATTAATGCAATTCAAAATAACTCATTCGTGATATGATCCCTAAATTCCCAAAAATCATCCAATAATCTAAAGCCTAAATAAAAATGCTTGATGTAAGCAATGCTTGTGTATAATATATAGTACGTGTACCTGTGCCATCAATGGTAGACCTTCACACTTTTTAGCAATCTCCCGTCCAATTCCCTCTAAACTACCATCTGAGCAAGCTGCATGTTTCAATATGGACCAGCATTCATCTGTTGATAGAAGGTCCAATTTAGGCCGCGGAAGTGTTTCTGTGAGTGATGCAACTATGCCACTGCGGGTAGTGACAATAATTTTGCTTCCTGGAGCAGAATTCAACTTTGACAAACAGCTCATCAACCTTTCCCATTTCTCAGACTCTTCATTCCAAACATCATCAAGTACCAGCAAGTATATTTTCTCTCTCAACTCTTCTTCAATGTATTTAAGCACTGCATCTTGATTTTCTCTTACATTGGCTTTTGATGGGTTAAGAGATTCTAACATGCATATCAAAATCACATTGATGTTAAAAGGATCAGACACACACACCCATATCCTTTTTTCAAAATACCCTGTTACTGAATTATCATTGTACACTGACTTGGCCAAAGTTGTCTTTCCCAGTCCTGGCATTCCCGCAATCGCCATGACCGACAGATTTTCTTGATTCATGTTGGAGTTAGTCAATGTTGTAACTATGTCTGACACAGCGTCCTTCCTTCCAATGATGATTTCATCTTTACCAATGAATGCGTTGGTCTCTCGGTCCTCTCTAATTCTTTGAGGGGTTGCATCTTTTTTCTTTGCAATTGCAATTAATCCGACGAAAGCTGCATCCTTCTTGAGCTCCTCCATAGAAGCGTTGATTTTTTTAATTCTATGTGCCATATTTTCATTTTGTGGAGAAAATAAGTTGAGAATCTGTTTTCCCATACCGTTATGCGGTTCTACTTCTCCCCGGAGACGTTCATAGTTGAGTTCTTCAAAGACATCATCAGCCTCATCAGCTATGTCTTTAAGTTTCTTCACCCAGCGTTCCACTGCCTTGCCACCATCTTGTGCCTTCTCATTCTTTTGCCTTCTCAGCAGCACCTCCTAAGAAATCTTGAAGGATGGATAAGGATTCACCGAGCTTCCCTAGTTCAGCTTTGAATCCCCAAGCAAGACTGATTTCGTCAGCAGCAAGGGAAGTCAGCTTCGTCAGTATTCCCTCGGTCGCGAAAGTAAGCACAGGTTCTACTGCCATATCTTAGTTTCCTTATGTAACCCTGCGCAAGACAAACAGCAGATCATATTAATGCTAGTTAATTAATTAAGAAACGAGAAGAAGAGACTGAAGATGGATGATGACGCACAGGCACAAAGTTTCTGTCGTAGGTAGAAGGAGATGATGAACACAGCAATAGCACGCAGAGTTTGTTGGAATTTTGATTTCAACCAATGAACGCTCACGCACTTTAGCTATTATTCTTAAAGCAATTGAATGCAAATAATGAAGAAAAACTCTCCAACTCTCGTTGTACTTTCCACTTTCCCTTCAAGCTCCAAGCAACAATATTATTCGTAGCTCTCTCTGTTGTTGTTATTGCTATCCTTGTCTTTCGTATCTTTCGTTTTGTCTCGGTGCTTTTCTTTGTCTTTCTGTTAACCATCGCTTGGAAGTTGGATGGATGCCTTGCTTACTGTCCACCTTAACATTATTCGTTTCTGACCAAAAAAAAAACAACCTTATTATTCTTTGCTCCCTCTTCTCCCTGTCCTTTCTTAACATTATGAAAACTTATGGAATAAGGATGAACTAATATCTTTTCTTCTGTCCTCTTTTGAGAAATTTTTCTGCGTTCCCGGTACACCAGCCTGGTGTACCGCCTAGTAGTTATGCGACACGTGGAATTATTATTATTTTAGTTTAAAAATGTAGTAATCTGACCGTGAGTCTTTAACTCTGTCAGCATTAACTCTCCTTTAAACTTGTCTTCGCATTTTTAATTAATCAATTTTTCTGACAATTATGCCGTCAAAGACAGCAGCCATCTGTTTTTTTTTCATTTACCCTACCCACTTATGCCGTCAGGGACACGTCTTTACTTCTTTTTTTCTAGCCGATTTACTTTTTTAGTTTATTGGATTATTATATTACAAATTTATAAATAAACTCAATCCTAGACATATATATATAAAAAAATTCAAGCACTATTTAAACATAGAAACACACCCAAAATCAACAATTGTATATTTTTTAGGTGTGTTTATAAATGGGTTTTGAGTGTGTGTAATGATGGGTCTTGGGTGTGTTTATAAAGTGTTTTGGGTGTTCAGTTTTTTTTTAATTTCAGTCTCCATTTTTGGTGTTTTAGTGAAACTCCCTTATTATATTGTATACATACATTATAAATATTGCTTCTTTGAACATTACTTATATATATATATATATATGTCGCACATAATCTGATACATCATTTCAGAGTTCTAATGACATAAGGCAACAAGAATGCCTTCTCCCTTGAAGTAACCAACCAAATTTTGTCAACATGCATTACTCATTTGGATCCTCATTTTGCTCAAAACCAGTGGAAAAGAAATCCTGCATTACATATCACATAACTTAAGAGTCTAAGACTAAGACCTAGTTCTTAAAAAGCAAAACAAAATTTGTCTAAGACTTCAACAATGAACTTGTTTAATACCTGATTCAAATGTGTCAAGTAATTTTGATCCTGAAACATGTTGGGGAAGGAAATATTTGGTTGAATAAATGACCAACTAAAATTGGAATCCTGAAAGAAAACAATTATGCAAATAAACAAATAATTGAAATTGTGTAGGCACAGAGCTTCTCTCATAGGTAGAAGGAGATGATGAATGCAGATTTGCAAAACAAGACAGTAATAGCACGCAGAGACTGGCAAAGGAGCTATATAGCTTCCTTAACTCTCAGGACAGGAGGAGACTTAAAAGTCTTGCTGAGCTCTACCATTTTGATATTTGTGGACATATGCATTTCTTGTAGAATAATGGCTAGAGGTTAGAGAAAAATAAGAAGCAGAATAGGAAGAATACCCCACGATGAGTATTCTAGTTGCATTGGATTTCTTTTATATGCTATACAGCTGACTTTGTACATGAATATAAACAGGAAAGATTATACAAACGGTAAAACATAAAATAGGCAATTCCAAGAGTATAGGGATTGATTGAGATAATGAAGCAATCACACTTGAATGGCTATAGACTGCTGTGACTTGTGGGGAGTGTCTTGCATATTCATTGGCTAATGGGTAGGATGCTCTTCACGCCCCCTCAAGCGAAAGGGAACAAAGTGGAGGTTGAGCTTGGTAGCCAGTTGAATAAACCGTTCGCGAGACAAGCTTTTGGTGAAGAGATCGGCAAGTTGAGAGGAAGAGGGAACATAGTGTGTCTAAAGAACGCCTTGGGAAATTAACTCGCGAAGAAATTGATAGTCGATTTCAATATGGCGGGTACGAGCATGGAAGACCGGATTCGCTGCCATGTGGAGGGTGGATATGTTGTCGACGAAGATACATGCAGGGGAACAAAGAGGAATACCTAACTCACGAAACAAGTAGCCAAACCAACGAAGCTTAGCTGCAGTGGTAGCAAGTGTGCGATACTTGGCTTCAGAGCTTAAGCGGGATACGGTGGATTGTTTCTTAGCGGTCCAAGTGAGAAGATTAGGACCAAGCAAAACACATTCCCCTGTAGTAGAGCGGTGGTAAACAATGGAGCCAGCTCAGTCAGCGTTAGAGAAGGCTCACAAAGTGAGGTCAGCAGAAGCACGAAAGAGAAGGCCATGCTCAAAAGTGCCCTTAATGTAGTGATAGATCTTTTTAACAACCTGTAGGTGAGTGGAACACGGATGATGCATGAATTGGCACACCTGATTCACTGCAAAAGTGATATCAGGGCGAGACAAAGTGAGGTACTGGAGGTCCCCGACCATGCTTCGGTACAGTGTGGGGTCTAAGATCGGATCACCATCATTTGCAGAGAGTCTGGTGGAGAAAAGCGGTGGTGTGGGACTTGGTTTACATGTTGCCATATTAAATTTGGTGAGGAGGTCAGATGCATAACGAGCTTGAGAGATTGATAGACAGCCATTGGTGCAACAAACTTCCATGCGAAGAAAAAAAATTGAGCTCTCCCAGCCTGCGACTATCGAAGGTTGAACATAATTCATCAATGAATTTTTTAACTGCAGGAAGAGTACTACCTGTGAAAATTAAGTCATCAACATACACAAGGACATAAAGAGTATGAGAGGCTAAGTGTGCCTTGTGTCTTTCAATAGTGCCATCGGCTTTTCGCTTCACTTTGAAAACCCATTTACAGCCCACGATGTTCATGGTTGGTGCAGAAGGAACAAGGGACCAAGTTTGGTTGTTTATAAGGGTCGTATATTCTTCTTGCATCGTTGCCTGCCAGTGAGGGAATTTAGAGGCTTGAGTATAACTTGTAGGCTTAATTGAGAGAGGATCCATAAGAGTTGCAGTTAAGGCATGGGGGAGAGGATGACGTGTGGAGCCGTAGACAATATTATGAAGGCTGCGGAACCAACATGGTGGTGATGTAGTGGCTGGAGTTGTTGGAGATGACTCGATTTCTATTCAAGGAGGGAAGTGCTGGCAGATTGATGAAGATGTTGGTCGGATGGAGATAAAGACAGAGTAGAGAGAGGAAGAGGTGTTGCTGGTGGTGAGAGCTGGTGGTGAAAGCTGGTTGTCCGTAGCAAGATTAAAGAGGTGGAGTAGTTGGAGGATGTGGAGATAAAGGAACATGAGGAGGCTCCAATAATGTGGGTGCAAGAGGTACTGAACTGTGATAATTAAAGGACTTGGATAGAATATTAGTGCAAGGAAAATGAGATTCATCAAAAGTAACATTCCTTGAAATATACACTCGCCCAGAGATTGGTTTAAAGCACTTGTACCCCTTGTAGTGATTGTCATACCCGAGAAAAATACACTTAATAGACTTGGAGGAAAATTTATGCTTGTTGTATGGAACTAAGTGTGGAAAACATGTACAACCAAAGGACTTGAGAAACCGGTAGTCAGGTGGGCGTTGGAACAACTTCTCATAGGGTGAAACTTACCAAGTTGTGCAGTTGGTAACCTGTTGATAAGAAAGACAGCAGTGGAAAACCTTCGAGCCAAAAACTCGAAGGTAAGTGTGATTGTGACAACAAGCAAAGTCCCATTTCAACAATATGTCTATGCTTACGCACAACAATTCTATTTTGCCATGGAGTGTAAGGGCATGAAATGTGATGTGTGATGCCGTGTTCATGAAGAAAATTAAGAAATAAACGATTTGTGAATTCACCACCACCATCAGTTTGTACTGTTTTAATATAATGGTTGTATTGTTTTTCCACCAATCTTTTGGAGAAGCCAAACGTTGTAAGCACATCGGGTTTCTTTGCTAAAGGATAAAACCACACAAATTGAGTGTATTCATCAACAATAGATAACTAATAACGATAATCAAAATTTGATGAGACTGGGGCTGGTCCCCATAAATCTAGATGAAGTACTGCAAGGGGTTCATGAGCATAAAAAGTTTGATTTGAAAAGGGAAGTCTACATGATTTTCCCAAAGGGCAAATATGACAAGCCTTATTAGAATCAACCTTACCAGTAACACGCAAGTGAAATTTATTAAGTAAAATACGAAAAACATCATGAGACGGAGGACAAATATCTTGGGTAGTCCTTTCACCATAAAAGACTAGCTTCCCTGATATTGTAGGGTCTGCTTGAATATGGTACAAGTCACTAGAGCTAATGCCAGTGAGTAATGTCCTCCCTGTCATATTGTCCTTGTAACATCCCACATCGACCAACGGAGATGGGGTGATGTGCCTTATATGTACATGCCCACCTCCATCTAGCACAAGGCCTTTTGGGAGCTCACTGGCTTCGGAGTTATGTGAATTCCGAAGTTAAGCGAATTTGGGCTAGAGCAATCCCGGGATGGGTGACTCACTAAGAAGTTGCTCGTGAGCTCTCAGAAACAAACCGTGAGGGTAGGGGCCCAGAGCGGACAATATCGTGCTCCGGCAGAGCCGATCCAGGATGTGACAGAATGGTATCAGAGCCACTCTGCCATGTAGTGCGAGTGTGCCGACGAGGACGTCGGGCCCTTAAGGGGGTGGATTGTAACATCTCATATCGACCAACGGAGAGAGGGTGATGTGCCTTATATGTAAGCGAGTTTGGCTAGAGCAATCCCAGGATGGGTGTCCCATTGGAAAGTTGCTT